GTTGAAACTTGTCCAATTGAGTCCGAGGTTGGTGGCTAGTTTTTTACACCCGCAAACATGATGTGATTCAATGAGAGATTGAAGCGGCTGAAAGCAAGCTTTGCCACTTTCTGCAGGCATTGGTGCTTGGCACATGCTCAAACTTATTCCAGTTCTGTAAATGCTCGTGTGAGCTTTGCAAAGTGTTGGGACCTAGTTGCTGGGTGTTCGGTGTTCGGGAGTCAAGAGCAGCTTACTTGGCAGAAGCCATATCCTGCCCATGATGTTTTCTCACCCTACGACGCGGATTTGCCATTTGCAGGTGCCCGAGCCCAAAGCAGTGGCAAAGGCTGCAACTCAGGCGGGCTCCTGCGGCATGTTGCAGCTTTTGTGCTGTGAGACCTATGGGACATCGTGCAGACTCAGTTGTAGTTTGCTGGCAAGATCTGGTAAGCTTGCTGTATAAGATGGGGGGCAGATGACTTCTCCAAAGGGCCCAAAGTCTAAAAGCCGATGATATGCCTTTGCTGCCTCAATGAGAGGCTGCGTGACCAGTCCGTGTTTCGCGACAGTGACACTGACTTGAATTCTGCCATGACGCTGATCTTTGGCACTCTGCGGCACTTTGGAGTATTTCTGGCGGATTGTTTTTGGCGCTGATGAAGCTGCTGGGCTCGTTAGGAGTTTTTAGGTTGAGCCCAAGGAAGGGGGGAATGCATGCCCCTCACAGGTGCCCGAGCCCAAAGCAGCGGCGAAGGCTGTGTCTCAGGCGGGCTCCTGCGGCATGTTGCAGCTTTTGTGCTGTGAGACCTATGGGACATCGTGCAGACTCAGTTGTAGTTTGCTGGCAAGATCTGGTAAGCTTGCTGTATAAGATGGGGGGCAGATGACTTCTCCAAAGGGCCCAAAGTCTAAAAGCCGATGATATGCCTTTGCTGCCTCAATGAGAGGCTGCGTGACCAGTCCGTGTTTCGCGACAGTGACACTGACTTGAATTCTGCCATGACGCTGATCTTTGGCACTCTGCGGCACTTTGGAGTATTTCTGGCGGATTGTTTTTGGCGCTGATGAAGCTGCTGGGCTCGTTAGGAGTTTTTAGGTTGAGCCCAAGGAAGGGGGGAATGCATGCCCCTCACAGGTGCCCGAGCCCAAAGCAGCGGCGAAGGCTGTGTCTCAGGCACCTGCCGGCATTTGACGATGTGAGCCCCACTTGACGAAATCCAGCGGGTCGCTTTGCTGGCAGAGTTTACGGGTTTGGCTTTTGAAGAAGTCAGTGCAGAGGGCACGTTTTCCTGATTCAGAACTTTGCCGGCTCGGCTGCCTCCGGTGAGGTTTGTGGTTGAGTTGCAGTGTATTTCTCCATAGCTTCAATGATTGGCCGCCCTTTCCCAAATCAGCGCTAAGGCAGTCATATGACTCAATGGTTCGATGAGAGGCTTGAGCGCCTGAAAGCAAGCCTTGATCACAACACTAATTCGTGCGGATTGCAGTCATGTGGCAAGGCTTTGCGGCATCAGTAGAACCAACGGGTTGATACTTTGTTTCTGCATGATTGGCATGTTTACAGGCATCGGTGCAGTGCGAATGTTAAAACTTAGTCCAGTTCTGAATGGTGCGTGTGAGCTTTGCAAAAGTGGTGCGACCTAGTCGCTGAGTGTTTGGTGTTCGAAGAGTCATGAGCAGCTTGCTTGGAAGAAGCCATATCCTTTCCATGTTGTTTGCTCACCCTACAGACTAGCTTGAGTTATTCCTTGTCCCTCTGGGACAGAAGCAGTTTTCCAAGTGGATCTTTCCACAGCAAGCTTGCCAGCGGGACTTGTTCAACAGGACCTTCCCAAGAATTCGTTGCGCATGACTCCATTGACAGCCTGGAACTATTACGCTGGCGCTGGTCCTTGTGTATGCGTGTTCCCTGAACTTGTTGCTTTTACGCGGATTTGCCCTTTGCAGGTGCCCGAGCCCAAAGCAGTGGCAAAGGCTGCAACTCAGGCGGGCTGCTGCGGCATGTTGCAGCTTTCGTGCTATGAGACCTATGAGACATCGTGTGGACTCAGTTGTAGTTTGCTGGCAAGATCTGGTAAGCTTGCTGTATAAGATGGGGGGCACATAACTTCTCCAAAGGGCCCAAAGTCTTAAAGCCGATGATATGCCTTTGCTGCCTCAATGAGAGGCTGCGTGACCAGTCCGTGTTTCGCGACAGTGACACTGACTTGAATTCTGCCATGACGCTGATCTTTGGCACTCTGCGGCACTTTGGAGTATTTCTGGCGGATTGTTTTTGGCGCTGATGAAGCTGCTGGGCTCGTTAGGAGTTTTTAGGTTGAGCCCAAGGAAGGGGGGAATGCATGCCCCTCACAGGTGCCCGAGCCCAAAGCAGCGGCGAAGGCTGTGTCTCAGGCACCTGCCGGCATTTGAC